ATATATATATATATATATATATATATATATATATATATAGTAAGTGTCTAGCTAGGAAATATTTTCCAACTAATGTGATGTAGTTATTATTGACAAATCTTCGGCAGTTTGGCTATAATAAATAATAATAAAAAAATTACTAAAATAAATTAAATAAAAAATTATTTACGGATGAGAGAGATGAAGAAAACATTATTATATATAACGTTTTCCACTATAAGAGAGAGAAAAATAAAAAAAAACGTCATGATAATTGACGTTTTTTGCATGTCTTTTTTACTCCTCTTACATTACCAACAATGGACCAAAAATCTTAAAAAAAACATAGAAATGTCATGTACTTTGACGCTTTATATGTATGTTTAGATTTTTATATGCATGGCAAAATAAGAAGAAAAAAACCATGAAAACATTAGGCTTGAGCACGGGGCGGGTTCGGACGGATTTGGGTTGAAAATATTAAACCCAATCCAAACCGATCCAAAAAAAAAACCATTTTCGACCGTGAACAGTATTTTGGGTTTATCGAGTTCGGGTTTTCGGGTCTTGGATTAATTGGATCAGGTTAGTCGGATTAGGAAAAGAAGCCCATTTACACTCGATTTTTTTCTCCTTAATTCTCACTTCTTACCACTCAAATCCGCCCCACCAAAGGGCGGAGCTTTACATTTTCATCTCAAAAGAATTCAAAACAGCAACTAACAACCCATATCTCTTCATCTCAAAACAATTCACAACAAACCAAAACGACAACAATTCTAAGAGTATGGCCTTGCCTTCGCACGCAACGAGCTTCAGTTGGAGGACGCGACCTACTTCAACCACGAGTTTCTTCAAAGCATGGGAATCTCCATCGCCAAGCACAGGCTAGAGATCCTCAAGCTGGCGAAGAAGGAGGACTTGGCAGCGAAAACCAGCGCTAACAAGCTTTCTGGGGTCATCAAGAAGTGCCTGAGGAAGTGCTTTAGCAAGCTAGTTTCAAAGGAGGATCATCAAGAAGTGAAGGAGATGCCTCCAGAGCCAAACTGGTAACAAGGGAAGTGGAGAAGGGCGAGGGACAATGGGACCATTGCACTTTCAGGGTCTTTGCACTTTCATATGACTACTCTCGCGGCGTTAGGATTTGCAGTTTGCGTGAGCGACGGTTAGGATTTCTGAGTAGAAGAGAAGGTTTCGCGTGAGCAGCGGCGCTTAGGGTTTTAGGTTTCCTCTCGCGGTGCTACCTTTAAAAGAATAAATATCATACATTTTAAGTGTTTTGGGTCGGTCGGGTATGGATACTCACGGGTTCAAATTTTTTAACCCGAACCCGACCAACAAAACCCATTACAAACCGACTCTAACAACCCGAAAAACTGGAAAAATCGTCAAAAACTGGCCGAACTAAGAAACTCACTTGCTGAAACTTCGGATTCGGTCGGGGCAAAATTTTCTGCTCAGCCCTAGAAAACATCATGAAATTTGACGTCTATTATGCATGGTTTCAATGCTTAAAAATGTCACCTAGCTTGACGTGTTTAATGTATGCTTTTCATGCTTAAAAATGTCACCTTGAGTGACGTTTTGCAGACATCTTTTCAGAGAAATAACGTGAGAAATCCCTTACCATGTCATTTTTGGTAGCTCTTCTAATACGAAAAACTCTACCTAACTCACCATTCCATATATGCTCAGATACGTGAATTGATTACATAATCAGTAAAGAATCATCAATAAGTTCTAGATTAACTCTTTGACAAGACATTATGAAATTATACAAATTAAAAAAATGCGTACGTAAAATTAAAATTGACAAATATTTCACATAAATAAATCAATGACTTATTATTATTATTATTATTATTATTATTATTATTATTATTATTATCAACTCACAATGAAACATAAAAAATTCTAAACCGTAAACAAAATTATGTTTAACGAATAATATACGTTTTAATATAGAATATAGAAAAAATAAAAATTTATGAGTATAATCGAGTTATTAGAATCAGTTTATAATGACTTAAAGTTGTGATAAAAATAAGTATTTCAAATACATAAAAATTTAAACATCATCAAAATTTTCACGTATATAAATTTTAAACTTACAATTTACATGAAAAAATAACATATAATTCTTTTAAATAATTAAAAAAAACTCCACTCCTTTACATTCAAGTATAGTGACTTAAAGTTGTGATAAAAATAAGTATTTCAAGTACTGACGCTGGCTTCCTTCAATTTTTGGTAAAACACAAACCTGCAACCACACTGCCAAGTCACTTCTTTCCATGCATGCAAGCCACTGTGGTCTGTGGTGGTCAAATAATAGAGACTCGTCAGCTAGGCTGAGGTTTTGTGTATCCATGCAAAACGTCACATGGCTCGACACTTTCTTCTACTTTTTTTGGTTCACAAAAGTTGTCAACATGGGGCTTTTTAACCTTTATAATTTTTTTAAAAAAGTAATTGTTAAAATTAATTATTTTAAAAATAATTTACCGAAATAAATTACTTCGAATACATAAGATCACAAAAAATATAACTAGGAGTGACGAGTTGCAGAAAACATCTCTACCAATAACGTCTTGCATGTAACATGCATATATGGACACAGGTAGACAACATGCAGACCAATAGAAAATAAGAAGAAAGCGTCACTGATAGTGACGACTTGTGGAGCAGCAAACAATAAGAAAAAAGCGTCATTGTAGTGACAACTTCTTTATTTTATTTTTCTTCTTTTCCTTGAATTTATTTGTGAGTGTCGGTGCTGAAAGAAAGTTAAAGTTCCCAATTAATATTCATCCTTCTTTGAGAAAAAACTCAAAACTGAAATTGGCTTAGCTCTCGCTCTCAAATCGCATGATTTCATAATTCATTACAATAACATCAAAATAAGATTTATTAACATTACAATAACATTAAATTTTAGTTTATCTAAAATTAGATATTTTTAATAAGATCCATAGTATCAAATTTTGAAATTTAATTAAATAAAATTAAGATAGTACTTAAAATGAATAAAAACTTATAAAAAAAAATTAATACATTGATATTTAATAATCTTGTAATTATAGTCTTTTTCATAAAGAATTAAATAACTTTTTGTTGATAAGACGCTAATAGGTGATATGCTGTATGGGTATTTTTAATTAATTTTTTTGACATATTTATTTTATTTGATATATTTATATTTTTGTAAAAGTATATTAATATTTATCAATTTAAATTTATGAAATTATTAATTTACCTATAAATATATCAATAATATTATAATACTAATAATATATATAAATTTTATTTATTTAGCAATAATATATATATATATATAGATGAATAAAAGTTATAATATATATAATATAAATAAGTCAATAATTATATAATTTTAAATATTATATATATTATATGATTTTAAAACTATTAAATTTTTAATAAAAATGATTAAAATTGCATAATTGTAGTGTTTGAAGGACTAAAATTCCTCATCAATTATATTCTTGAGGACCAAAATTACACAATTACAATATTTTAAGGATCAAAATTGTAATTAAACTTAATTTATTTATAAAATGTCAATGGTTAAAACTAAGTTCATGTCATAATTTAAAATTTTCATTGTAAATTTGAAGTATTAGTTTTCAATTATATTTATTCATTGCGATTTTTAATTATAATCTGCATATTTAAAAAATTATAGTATAAATTTTAATTATATAAAAATACATATTTATGAGAAACTAAAATACTAGGTTATAATATAAAAATAGATTAAATAGAATTTCAATTACTTAAATTTTAATTGTTAAAGAGAAAAACTACTTTATTATGATATTTGGTGAAAAAGTTTGGAGGATCTTTGTCAACGGGACCAGCGATTTTGTTACGATGCGTTTGTATAGAATGAAATTATGAAATCATGCAATGTGAGAGCGAGAGTGAAGCCAATTTCAGTTTTGGTTTTTTCCCAAAGAAGGATGAATATTGGGAACTTTAACTCCCTTTCAACACTGACACTCGTAAATAAATCCAAGGGAAAGAAGAAAAATAAAATAAAGAAGTTGTCACCTAGAATGACCCTTTCTTCTTATTTTCTATTAATATGTTAGTGTCCATGTATACATCCATGTTATATGTAAGACATTATGGGTAGTGACGTTTTCTCTGCAACTCGTCACTTTTATTTGTTTTTTTATCTTACATATCTGAAATAATTTATTTTAGTAAATTATTTTTAAAATAATTTATTTTAATAATTACTTTTTTAAAAAAAATTATAAAGGTTAAAAAGCCTCAACGTGGTTGCCACTTTCTTCTACTATTTTCTTTTCCGCAATGCCATGCAAGCGAACATATTTGCATATTTTGAAGTCATCACGGACCTTGACGTTTTTCACATCCTACGTGGCAAAAATTATATATTTTGATAATTAATTTTTTATTTAATTTATTTCAAAAATTTTATTTATTATTATTTTTATTTATTCTGGATTTTCAGCCCAAATCTTCAATCCTGTATTGGTATGACTGATATGAGTGAGGTGTGATACCCATTTGAAGACCTCAAGCTTCACTCCAATAGTGGATTTTGTCACCGACAAACCCAATACGGTCACAAAATATTAAGACGTTAGCTTCTCATTGATGGTGTGAAATAAACGAAGAGAGAGAAAGAATAGCGAAGAGAAAAAATATGGGTGTAGGAAAAAAACAACTATCATATTAAATTTTTAAGGATATTCATTTAAATAGAAATAAAGGAAATGTAGAATATTTTTATATTATAAGATTTTACTTAACTAACGGATTACACTAAACTAATAGACTACATCTATATAAATTAACTTTTATATTGTTTGCAATCTATATTAGTTTGATACAACAACATTACTCAATGTCACAATAACATTAAGTACTTCTAACCCACCAAATCTACACTAGTAGGTGCAAATAACAAAACCTATCAAAACCCGGGCGTTCAACTTGTGGGCTATGTTTAACTAAATTTTTTATCCTTAAAAGCCATAATTTGTAGAGGCATGCATTTCTATGAACGCCTCACATGCATCAACTAAAATCACGAAAATCATACATAGCGTACCATCAACATCTTCAAAAATTAACAACACACCAAACACACCGAAGCATTATATAATGAAGAATGAAAACGAAAAATCAAAAACCAAAAACATACCTGGAACGTGAGGTGTGGTGGAGCATAACGGGATAAGCACTTCATTTTAAGGGGTTTTAGTAGAAGGAAAATATCACTTAACACAAGCATATATATTAAAAACACACATATACCACGCATAATCAACTAACAATGTTTGTTGATAGAAGGAAAAAAGAAAGACAAAATATGGAAATTCCTATAGATGTGTCTCCGTAAACAGGAGCTGTTATTGAAATGATAAGACTTAAAAAATAAAAATAAAAACAAAGGAGGAAACCATATATAGATAGCTCTGCAGTCATAAGTACAAAGGATTATTGCATATTGAACCACCCATCTAAAAGAGAGCACCAGCAGCAAGCAAGTTCAAGATTTTGAGCATTTGGGTAAATTTGACAGAGATTCGTGGTCAAACTACATACTATATAATAATATAACTATGATTAAAGCAACAACAGAACATATCCATACAAGTAATTAGGAAGTTCATAAATGACAAGTTGATGAGATTTACCATAGCCAAAGCCTAACTAATAAACGAAAGTGCAATATTACTGCTCGTGGAGTCGATTCATATATATATATATATATGGAAGCAACTCTAACTCAAGCAAATTAATTTTCAAGCCATGGTTGAATTAAACTTGGATGTCATCCCCCAAGTAATTCTTGCAGCTTGTGACAAAAACTATCATTGTAAGTGTTCTCCAAATCCTTGCTGCTTAAGATGTTTCTCAATTTTAAATGATTTTCTCTAACCTGCCTTCCAACCTCACTCTCATCATCCATCACAGTCTTCACAGCTTTGCAGACGCTCTCCTTTGTGAACAAACCATCTTCTTCACCTTTCTCCACTTCAACACCAGCCTTAAAGCTGCTGCTCATCATCCTTGCATTAAAGATCTGATCAAGAACATTTGGTAACATCACAAGCTGACACTTGTTCACAAGTGCCTCTAGTAAAGATGAGGCTCCACAATGGGTAATGAAGCACCCTATAGAGGGGTGATCGAGAATTAATGTCTGCTGAACATTCCATACTGCAGCACAGAATTCTTTTAAAGAAAGGCAAACAAGTGGCTCAGGTTCTCATTCAATGGGAAGGTCAACAACCAGAGGAAGCCTCATGGGAGGATGCAGAAACTATCAAACAGTCTTATCCTCACTTCAACCTTGAGGACAAGGTTGTTTTTAATGGGGGAGGTATTGTAGCAGGCCCACAATGCTCAGAGAAGAAAAGAGAGACTCAAGGCCCACATTGCACAAAAGAGAAACTGCTGAGAGAGCAAATGATTGGAAAGCAGAAAATGCCAAATTCGGTTATGGCAGAGGGACACGTGGAGGATCCATCTTGGATCATGCACCCACGCAGAGGGGACAGAAAACGACGCAAGAATATTCGCCTCTTGGATCACGTATAGTGCCTTTTTAAGGGAAATCTCTCGGGAAGAATGAAGGCATTGAAGATTGTTGCACTGTATTTCTTTTCTCATCTTTCTTCTTCTATACTCTCATCTATATTTCTTCGATTCTCTCTCAAGTATTGCTATTGTACTCTTCTGACTCCATCAGTGTAACAATTATTTGCCAACTAAGAATACAATCACATATTCCCTGCGTTTATTTACTGTTTCATTAAGTAATTTCTAAATTTTAGCATTTAGTTGCTACACCCAACCCCCATGCACAATGCCTCTTCCATGAACCCTCTCTTTGAACCCTTCTGGCATAGCTTCTTCAACAGACTCAAATCCAATAGGTGCTTTAAGTGCTGCCAGAAATGGAAAACCTGTTAACTCAAGACCCAGCAATAGTTCCTTGAACTGATCTTGAACCATCCTGCATTCACTTCCAAATGCACAGTATATGACCGAACCAGGGTTAAATCTTGCAAGCCATTGAGCCCATTTTTGTTCCAAAGTGGAGTTGGGTGGATCTGGTAACCCAGGCCCTGAAAGCAAAAGAGGCTTCCAATAGAAACTTTCAAGAAACTCAGCATATTGTCCCTCAATTTCTCTACAACCTCTAAATCCCACTGCATCTGACAAATTGGCTCCAGTGCAGACGTGGTCCATGAAACTAACACCACCAACTTCAAGTTTCATGAATGAAGCTAATCCTCGAACCTCATGAGCATGAAGCTTGATGGAAGAATCTGGGAACCCAGCTGGGGGACTATTCATGAGATTCATCTCATCATCTTCAACTAAGTTATTTTGTTGACACTGCTTCTTCATGGATTCTATAAAAGCTACTGACATCACGTTTACAGTAATGTACTGAAGAGACTTGATGCCTAAGCTCCGAGCCAAGCTGGGTATCCACAATGCAAAATCAAAAAAAACAACGTTAGGTTTGAGCTCATGTAAAAGTGGTTCGATGTCCTTCTTAGTGCGATCCATGGCAGTCATAAAAAGTGTGGCTAAAGATAAGGGAACATCAAAAGTGGTTTCAGCCTGAGGAGGAAGGCCATCAACGTGGGGAATGGTGATGGGGATGAAGGTTATCAAGTGTGGATAGAGGTTGTAATGTTCCACCTTTGCCTTTGTTCGTTTGGGTATGAAGAAGGAGATTCTGTGTCTTCTCTTGGCTAATTTGTTGGCTAGGTGGAGATATGTTGTTATGTGTCCCATAGCAAGCCATGGGTACATTGCTATGTGCATCTGCAATTGTGGCGCGTCCATGGCTATCTCAAAAATATCAACTGATCATGTCTGCTTTGCTTTCACTCTACGAGAGGCTTATTTATAATTGAATTAAATATGTTTTTAGTCACTCAAATTTAACACAAATTTGTTTTTGATCCTTCAAATTTAAAATTATTGTTTTTAGTCCCTGTAATTTTTAAAAATTTTGTTTTAGTCCCTTAAGTCACTAATAACATATTTAAAAGTGATTAATTATGATAGTTATGCAATATCAACTGGATTTAATGTGATATTTTCACTAATAGGGACATGAATAAGTAAATTTTATGCAATAATATTTGATAAATTTCTTAACAAAATTTGAATATAAGGACTAAAATAAGATTTTTTGAAATTACAAGGACTAAAAATAATAATTTTAAATTTGAGAGACTAAAAATAGATTATAATTTGATGTCTTTTCGATGGGTGCTGTGCTATGGGAAAAAAGTCCTGGCCCTTCTATTCATCTAACATGCACGTTACTGAATATTTGTCAACAAGGGACCCCATCGGATTAATTATTTGACCCCACAAATATAGTAATTTAGCAATTATTGAGAGAGATTCGATTAGTGTTATGATCAATTATTGAATAAGAATGTCCAATTTATACATTTTAAATTTTTCTTTAAAAGGATTAAATTTATGTATTAAATTTGATGTAAACAAAGTATCAAATTATTTTTAAAAAATTTTAAAAATTTACAGATGTGATCCATATATTAAGAATTTTAAATTCAACGGTTGGATCGTTAAAATTTGATGTAGAACATGAGTTATTAAAGATAGTAAGTTTAGGCAGATTTACCCTTAAAATAAACGGATCCCTCATCTATATATATGATTTGTTCATCTAATGTTAGTTTCTTTTTATTTATTTTTTAAATCTGAATTTTAATTTAAAATAAATTTTAAAATTTTAAGCTAATTACGTCCCTAACAACGACTGAAAAATATGACGAAGCCTATATTATAACTTGCAAATTTTCATGTTGACAATGGCTGTATTTATTCTTTTTAAATCTATTCAACGACACTACCAATTGTGGTGTAGAACTGTGGCTGAATCATGCGAATTGCTGTTCAGTTTTACAGATTCATATATTCATAATAGGTATACTTTGTTTTTTTTTTTTTCCAGTCTATTCACCAACACAATTCTTATAGCAATACGTGGAGTAGAATTGTGGCATAATCATGAGAATTGTTGCTAAATTAATTAAAAGTGAAATAAAAAGAAAAAAAATATGAATGATAAAAGTAAAAAGAATATAGAAAAAAAATAATAAATATATATGTTGATTGTATGGTTGGAGATAAGAAAGAAAAAAGTAAAGAAAAATCTCTCCTTTTATTTAGATGAATAGAAAAATAAAAAAAAATGAATATTATATAAAACAGACATTAATATGTTGTTTCCATATTTTATTGTATCGAAAACATTTTACATTAATTGTTGAAATGATGTTATCTCATCAATGTTGAATGAAATCCTTTCTTACATTTATTTAATTGATATAAAAGTGACTTTTCACATTAGTTAATTAAATTTAACTACTCACGGAACAACAAGCAAATACAGTAATAATAACCACTCGAATTCTTTCACTGAGCAAATTATTAAGTAGTTTAAAGTTATTAAATGTCTGTGATTTAAGTTAATTATTATAATATATATATATATATATATATATTTAAAATTTTTAATTTTACAAAAAAATTAATAACACATATTTACATATAATATAAATACTAATTAAAAATTATATGATCCAAAATCACCTAATAAATTTTATTCAACGAACACCTATTAGCACCACACTTCACAAAGATCAAAGTGCACCACATTTGCCAAATTAAGATGAGGGCAACTTGCACCTCCACCCTTCCACTCCAACTCCTTAGGTCAACCTCCCCTTGCCATTGCCACGAAGGATAATGACGCTGTCTCCAAGCCCCACACTTACAGCAACTCATGTCCCCCATCGATGATAGCAACTTGTGTAAAATAACTCTCCCAAACTTGAAGTATCTTTGAGAATGAAAGACTGATATTAATAGAATGCGAACAAGGATTTCTCATTTTACAACATTAGGTGCTACCTTTTTACATTGGTTATACATTCATTTGATGTAAAAGTGATTTTACATTAGTTAAACTTATATGTTCAAATAAATTTCAAAAAGTCCATTGCATAATTTTTTTTTTACATCAGTTAGGGTATAATTGATGTTAATTTTTGTTCTAAAATGTTATTTCTCAGCAAGTGATATGGTTGTCTCCATTACAGTAGATCATAGCTTATTTGAATGAATTTCAATTGATGTCAGATTAGTAACTGGAAAAAGGGAAGGACGAAAGAGAAAGGAAAGGAGAAGACAAAATTATTTTTCTTATATTATTTGCCTTTTTAATAACATGGAAGAAATGATTAAAATTTACATGGACCTATACTTTTGTATTTTCTATCATTTGAAAAAAAATGATGAGAGAGAAAATGATTTTGTATATAGAATAGATTCAATTTTTTCTATTTTTATTTATTTATCTTTATTAGAAATATTTGTTTCATTATTTTATATTTCTTTATTTCCTATACAATCAAGTAAAAGTAAAGAAATTTTTTAACTTAGCTCCCTTTTTAATTTCAAATAATTAAAATCATTTTACATTTTAACCTTTTTTCTTTCTTATTTCATTTTCTTTGTAGTTAAACCAAACAAAGCCTTGAAGTCTTTTCTTTTTAATGGATATTTTTTATATGTGATTTTATATTTTACCGCGAGGATATTTTAGTTTTATTTAATCTTTTATTCTCATCGTTTTATTCTCATATAACACATTATCATCTTCTATCACATATAAAGTTTTCATACCACGCATAAATCTTTCATATCATGCACATCATGTAAAAGCATCTCATATCCATACAAACACAAAGTCTCGAGCAAATGTCTTACAAACATAATTTTATATCTTCATCATAACCCACTTATAACTCATTAAATATCCCCTTTTATACTATTTCTTAATCATTGATATAAATTTTTCAAACCATTCACAAGAGTTAAGGATAAAACAATCTATTATGACAACTCACAAACAACCTCTTTTAATCTTCAACATCTACAACATTGTGAGATTAGAATGGGACATATGAAAATATATTTATAATATCAAGTTGGTTTTAATTTTATTGGAAAGATTAGACCATTTTCTATAAATTTTATGTTAACCTCAAGAGTTATTTTATTTTATACTATTTTTAAATATTACAAAGTTACAATGTTTAATTCTAAATAATATTATAAAAGAAAAAGAAAAGGAAATTGAACTGCTTTATTCCATTGGAAATATTACGATTTTTTCGAACTTACACTCGCTACAACCGATGTCTTAAAAATAGGCCACTATCAGTCTATCACAAATTGAACCAAAAGGGAAAACTTAACGGACATCAAAGTACAAAAACTATTTGAAACATTTGACTCATACATCATTTAACAACAAAGAATAAACTCAAGCAAAGCTAAATTGACAAAGCCCTGATTGAAACTTGCATATCACCCAAGTAATTCTTGGAGCTTGTGGCAAAAACTATCAACGTAAGTGTTGTCCAAATCCTTGCTGAGTAAGATGTCTCTCAATTTTAAATGATTCGCTCTAACCTCCCTTCCAACCTCACTCTCATCATCCATCACTGTCTTCACAGCTTTGCAGACACTCTCCTTTGTGAATAAACCATCTTCTCCTCTCTCAATTTGAACACCAGTCTTTAAGCTGTTGCTTATCATCCTCGCATTAATGATCTGGTCACAATAATTTGGTAGCACCACAATCTGACATTTGTTCACAAGTGCCTCTAATAAAGATGCGGCTCCACAATGTGTAATGAAGCAGCCAATAGATGAGTGGTCAAGAATTAACGTCTGCTTCTTTCTTTCTCTTTCTTTCTTTCTCTCTCTCTCTCTCTCTTCTCTTTCTCTCTCTAAAATTTCACTTTCTTCCTCTGTATAAAAATTTTCACCCCCTTGCCCCTATTTATAGGCAATCTGACGCACCCGGAACGGCCCGTTCCGGATCCTTCAAATCTGGGCAAAATTTGTAACTGGAACGGCCCGTTCCAAAATCAAAACGGCCCGTTCCCAAAAAAACCAGAACGGCCCGTTCTCAATCTCAGTAGAACGGCCCGTTCTCCTTCCGGAACAGCCCGTTCTCCATACCGGAACGGGCCGTTCCAAGGCCGTTCTGGGACTACAAAAACCTCACATTTTCAACATTTGGAACGGCCCGTTCCGGAACCCAAAATACCCCTATTAAAATTACGAAAATGCCATTAAAATAATAATACAAAAAATTAGGTGTTACAGTACGACCCACAGGTCGACATCTAATTGTTGTTAATAAAAATAAATTTTATTGCTAATAATATCTTTTATTATAATTTTTACTTTTATTTTATATGTTAGTTTAGAAAAGATCATCAAATTTCACACACAAAATGTGTAATAGAGTTTAAATTTAATAATTTTAATGAATGTGCAGAAAAATATTATATTATAGAAATTATAATATTTTTATCTTTTTAACTGAATTATCCGCAAATTGATCTGAAAAAAGAATTAAACAATTGTAAAGTGAGAATTAATATGTATTATATATCTATCTACTAAATTTCATGACATTATTTTTAGCATCATTTATTGTTTTTATATATTTAAATTAATATATATAATTGAGTCAACCATTAGGATTAATTAACCTAGTGGTTGAGTGGTAAGGGATTGAATAGTCAACCAGTAAATTCAATTCTTATTAAGACTATCTTTGTAATCTTTTCTATCTTTACTAAAAAAATAATAATAATTGAGTCACATTCCTTGAATTCAAGGAACTAAATACATAACAAAATTCAATGTTTTACCAATTTCTTCTCCTAATTTATCACAAACATATGTAAATATCTTAATATAATTATTATACAATTATCATTTCAAATTTTTAAAATATAATAATTTAATATACTTTTACGCTCTTTAAAATATAATATATACATTTCTTTATCCGTACGGGTCAACATCTAGTTGTTGTTAATTTTTTTTTGGTATCATTATGAAAGATAGAAGACAAAAATACACTAGAACCTAGATGACATAGAGTCAACTCCTAAAGCAAATAAAATAAAATTTGGAGGACTCCTCCATGAAACATTCGAGTTCAAATGTTGGACACCCCATCGTGCTAGAGAATGGGCCACACAGTTGATTTCGCGAGGGATACAAACAAACTCTACCTCCCAAGCTCGGGAACACTGATCCATCAACCTCTTAATAATATCATAGTATTTATGTCTAAGTTGAGCCCCTTTCCCTAAACTCTTAGCTGTATTGATAACACCTAGACAATCGGATTCGCAAATAACCTTCTTACACCCCTCCTTCCAACAAAGCTCAAGGCCTTCGACAATTGCTAGTAATTCTGCCTGGAAGGAATCACCGCCCTGGAGGCCAACTGCAAACTCAAGTTTCCATTTCCCAACTGAATTCCGCAAAACACCACCAGACCCCATAGCATTAAGCTGGGGAACAAAACTGCCATCCACATTTAGCTTAACCCAAGATGGTTCTGGGGGACTCCATTGAACGTTTACTTGCCACAACTTGTTGAAAATCCATCTAGTTGTTGTTAATAAAACAAGAAAATAAATTTGGGTTTTTATTTTTTATAAAAGTAAAAGAAAAGGAAACTGAACTGCTTTATTCCACTGAAAATATTATAACCTTATTAAACTTCACAAACGACACTGAACAATAACCACCCACACTCGTCACCACCATATCCTTTAACAACATAGAATCAACTCGAGCAAAGTAAAACTGACAAGCCCTGATTAAAACTTGCATATCACCCAAGTAATTCTTGGAGCTTGTGACAAAAACTATCAACGTAAGTGTTCTCCAAATCCTTGCTGAGTAACATGTTTCTCAATTTTAAATGATTTTCTCTAACCTCCCTTCCAACCTCACTCTCATCATCCATCACAGTCTTCACAGCTTTGCAGACACTTTCCTTTGTGAATGAACCATCTTCTTCACCTTTCTCCACTTCAACACCAGCCTTCAAGCTGCTGCTTATCATCCTCGCAATAAGGATCTGGTCAAGAATATTAGGTAACGCCACAAGCTGACACTTGCTCACAAGTGCCTCTAGTAAAGATGAGGCTCCACAATGGGTAATGAAGCAGCCAATAGATGAGTGGTCAAGAATTAATGTCTGGTGGACCCCCACAATGCCTCTTCCATGAACCCTCTCTTTGAACCCTTCTGGCATAGCTTCTTCCACAGAATCAAATCCAATAGGTGCTTTAAGTGCTGCCAGAAATGGAAAACCTGTTAACTCAAGACCCAGCAACAGTTCCTTGAACTGATTCTGGTTTAGCCTCCATTCACTTCCAAACGCACAGTATATGACTGAACCAGGCTTGAATCCTGAAAGCCACTGAGCCCATTTTTCTTCCAAAGTGGAGGTAGGTGGCTCTGGTAGTACAGGCCCTGAAAGTAAAAAAGGCTTCCCATAAAAACTCTCAAGAAACTCAGCATATGTTCCCTCAAATTCTCTACAACCTTTATATCCCACAGCATCTGACTGTGTGGCGCCAGTGCGGATCCGATCCACGAAACGAACACCACTACCATACTTTAAATTCAGGAATGAAGCTAATACTCGAACCTCATGAGCATGAAGCTTGATGGAAGAATCTGGGAATTCATGTAGATTATTCATGAGATTCATCTCATCTCTAACCAAGTTCTTTTCTTGACACATGTTCTCCATGGATTCCACATAAGCTGCTGATATCATGCTAGTGATTGTGTACTGAAGAGACTTGATGCCTAAGCTTCGAGTCAAGCTAGGTATCCAAGACGCTAGATCAAAGAAAACAACGTGGGGTTTGAGCTCAAGTAAAAGTAGTTTAAAGTCCATCTCAGTACGTTCCATGGCAGTCATAAGAAGTGAGCCTAAGGAAAAGGGAACATCTGAAGTGGTTTCTGCATCAGGAGGAAGGCCATCAACTGGGGGAATGGTGATAGGGATGAAGGTTATTAAGTGTGGATAGAGGTTGAAATGTTCCACCTTTGCTTTTGTTCGTTTGGGTATGAGAAAGGATATTTTGTGTCCTCTTGTTGCTAATTTGTTTGCAAGGTGAAGATATGGCGTTATGTGTCCCATGGCCAGCCATGGGTACATAGCTATGTGCAACTGCAAGTGTGCTGCGTCCATGGCTATCTCAAAAGTATCAACTGATGTCTTCTCTCTCTGTATGAGACATGAGAGGGTAACAAATTAAACCCTTATTTGAAGTCTTTGCGATCCAACTCATGATCACGTGTTGAAGAGTTGTGAACAATAATTGTTTGATCATCCAAGCTATTTTTCTCTTGCTTGATAATTGATACATATTATATTCTCGTGAGGTACAACATTAAAGCACTCTTATGACCGACATTGCTCTTTTCTTTTTTTATTCTAATTTGAGTTTTCGATGCTAAATCACGATAATATCATCATTTTTAAAATCCCAAAATTCAAAGGACTTGCTTCGAATATTGAATATTTATATCATCCCTAACTACTCCCAGTATATGACAATTAATAAATGATGAACACGTTACTTTGATCCCTAGCGTTCTGTGTTTGTCTAAAGCTTTTCCCAAATTCTAATATTCAGTTCAATGAAAAAATTATTTCACTAATGTTTTCAGTTCAACAGAACAAAACGTCGATACAATCAAGTCTTTTAACTCCTCATTTGAAGTCTTTTCAACCGAATAAAAGATTATTTTGGTTCCTTGATTCGAAAGGCTGTTATATTAATTTTGAAAGGCTGTGTTCTTAAACCAAAATATATATCAAATAAGTTTATGAAAGTATACATTGAGAATCAATTAAAAATTAGCTAAAATTTAAGATATCATTTCACTAGTGATAATATTGATAAATATTTAAGAACTAAAATGATAGTAATTAAATTTAGGTATTTATTTGACAAAGTAGCTAGCGACCTAAATTCCTATGCTTTTGAGTTCCAATATATACTACCTAGCCTGCTTGTTAATTCCTTGTATTCAATGTGAGCTCCGAGTCTTTGAAAAACTTATCTGGTCAGCAGCAAAAACATTATTAATTATTATTCACGATTAATATTAGGTGCTGAATATTTCAAATTGAAAATATTGACCTTTCTTGTTTAATTAATTAGTCCTATTGATAAGATTGGTCATTGGTGTAATGGTGTTTTGTTCTCCCCATTGGAGAAATTATCAAATAACAGCTGGACTGCATTTGACACGGGTGGATAAAAATGTGAACTTCTTGACAAAGTTACAATATAAGATTTTCAAATGATATTATATATTGTTGTGAATATAATATACAAACCAAACTTAAACTCTTCACATCAACAAGAAGCAGATCCTGTGGGTGATCCTGATTCCTGAGACTTAGATCAACCTTAATTACACCATGTGAAGCTTTATTGATAAGAGCGCAGTGAGTTATATTAGTAAAGAATAAAAAATACACAACTTCGTAAATTTTAATATAATTATTACTGAGACTTTGAATAAATATAATAATTGTACGATATTTATGAAATAGATTTCTTTCACTATAAGTAAATAATAATATGGATAAAGAGGCACTACTACTAGAAATATGATATTTATCTAAGGATTTTCATGCAAAAAAATATTTGTAGGAAATTGTTGCAAAAATTCTTACAAATATAAATCTCCAATAAATTATTGCAAATATTTTTGTAATTTTAAATTCGCAGAAAATTCTTGCAAATTTTACTACAAAATATTAATTATATAAATTTTTTGTTGCAAATAAAAATTTCTAAAAAATTCTGTAGGAATTTTTTTATTTTCATGCAAAATTTGTTTTAAATATAAATTCGCATGTAATTTGTTTCTTTTTTGTAAATAATATTTCTTGCAAATTTTTAAATTTTTTTTTGAATCCTCGTTTACATTGCATTGACTCCATCATTGCAACATCGTTCTTCATAACACTTCTCTCAACTGTTCATCACATCCACAACACTTCTCTCAGGTAACACTATTTTTCCACAAAAGCACCGCACAACACCATAACACTTCTCTCAATTGTTCTTCATCACCTCCAAAACATCGTCGTGCCACATCCACCTTCTCCTTTTCTCGCACCGCATGCATCTGTTAGGTTTTCGTTTTCTCTCCTTTTCCTTTTCTCACACCGCACCTTCTATTAGGGTTTTCGTTTTCTCTCCTTTTCCTAATTTTTCTCACCGCACAACACTTCATTTTTTGTGTGCTTTTGAATGTAGATTTGAAATACCAACTCAATGAGATAGAAGACAATGCTTGGAATCTGAAAAATGTAGAAGCAGATGTTGCCTGGAGGTAAGATGTTGTTTGGATACGATTTCCTTGCTTTCTTCCATGTTCTGAACCTGTTTGATTTTGATCTAAGTTGAAACTACCACTACACATACTTGTTTGATTTTAAGAGAAAATGCTCTGGTTTCTTGCTTTGGCTTTGATACCTGAACATGTTTTGTTGTGATTACTGAGGAAAATTTAAGTTAAACCATTAGAGAATAGCCTTTGTAAAAGCTGGGTTCTTGACATTGCTTGATAGCATGGTTTGGTCCATGTAGCAAATACCAACTACTTGGAAAAGGCTTTTGTTTTATTCTTCTTAGATGATCCTATGGAATACTTTCAGGATTCGATATATGTAAAATATACTAATTGTTTCGTCTTTGGTTAGTTGGCTACTATGGCTTCTTGATTATCATGCATGAGATTTTTTTAGCTTCTTTTATGCTCTTTTTTTTATTCAATTTACCATGTTTTGAGCTGTCTATCTGCACAATTCAGTACACTTCTCAATTCTTTCTCTTTGAAGAAGAAAGATATTTTTTTTTATCATTTTATTACTTAATTTTTTTTTCTCCTGTGTGACTTTAATTGATTTAATCATTCATGAGCCATATATTGAGTAGTTGCAGATTTTCTGCTATAAGTCTGTAACTGAACGTTGTATCATAATCACGTCACCTCAGTGAAATTGTGCTAGATTTATTTTCCCCAAACATGTAAAAGTGTTGCAGTTTTTTTTATTTTATTTTATTTTTATTTTTTGTGATGAAACTAGAGGTTGCTTCAATGATTTGATCAAGGTTGGAGAACCTATTTGTATGTTGTTCTTGAATAGGTTTTTTCAATTACTTCAATTTATATGCCCCTTGATTTCAGGTTAATTTTACCTTGATTAGATTAGTAATAAGTTATACATATTTTCAGGGATAACTCTGTTTTGTGTATGAATTCATCATATAGGTTATGCATGCAAATTAATAACTTCAGGTTGATTTTATATTAGAAAATAGAAATGAATTTTTTGGTAAGTATTTGCCTAAAATTCTCAATTTGAACGACAATGATGTAAGTCAGTTTTTTTCATTTTTGTTAAAATGTAAATGTCAACTTTCCCCCTTAATTTTAAATGTTAGTATATTCTTCTTGTTAGGTAACATGCTAAATTGTTAGTGTAGCTTTTCATTTTGGTTGATAAGGTGTATGTGTTACCGTATCACAACATAATTGATTATCCTGTCCGGTTGGCTTGGCTAGTAGTTTTGCAATTCAGGATCATATTATTTATAGCGAGCCAGCTACAATGCTTGCAAGATACTTCTTTTCTACTCTATTTGTATTGCAAATTTCATGAAGTGGTACCAATGAGAAAACGCAATGGGTAATGGATGTTGTTTACAAAGCTACCTAAAATTTCATATTGTGCATTTTTGTGAACCCTCCTGCTGGCCCTTTTTTTTTTGCTGGTGATGCTTTGGCATCTTCTGAGTTTGCTATTGAGAAAACGCAATGGGTAATGGATGCTGTTTACAAAGCTACCTAAAATTTCATATTGTGCATTTTTGTGACCCCTCCTGCTGGCCCTTTTTTTTTGCTGGTGATGCTTTGGCATCTTCTGAGTTTGCATTGACCTCTGGACCTCTTCATCAGTACTGAGCCTGCCTCTTTGGTCCATACTTTATTATCTGTCCCTCCACAATGCCTCTTTTTTTCTTTCTCGTTGGACTGGACTTCCCCCAACCTATTGGTATCTGACTATCTGGAGAGACTATGGATAATGGTCTTATTTCTCCTTTATTATTAATTTTTTTTGGTTACATTCTATTAGACCTTTTATTTGTTTCAACTTCTAATTGTATTCTGCTAGCAATAGTAGGTTGTTGAGCTTTTTCTATAAGAAGGGATTTGAAAATTTTGAGGAGAAAGAGAAAATAATAAAGAAACATCCTTTGTTGGATGAGGATGTCCGAGTATGGAGGTTGACGTTATGTAGATCAGCTAGAATATTGCATTGGATGATTCATTAAAGGGAGTATGTTATGTAGTAGATTTACTTATGTTGATCAATGCTGTTAGCTTATATTTTTGGAAGATAGGAGTTTTAATTATGATTAGGCCTTTAAGGTATTGCATGGGCACTGATTTGAACTGCATAATATGAACTAGATATTGCAACTTGGTAGTTTAGTTGGAGTTCCATCTGTGTATAAGTTTTGTATTTGGAGGACCTTTAGAGAACTGCGTAGTAGAATTGTATTTCTTTTTGCAAGTCTTAGAATACTATTTAAAATGACTTTAGATACTGAATGAGTTTAGTATTGACTTGAATTATTTGAACTGGAATCAAGAAAGTTATTTAGAAAGAGTAAATTACATTAACACCCTCTGAAATTTTGTGAGATTGCACTTAATCCCCCCTTTTTTTTCTAACCCTTAAATGTTTGAAAAATATTACATTGATACCCATTAAACATTACACTACGCCCCCTTAATTGTTTAAAAAATCTTAGTGTCCCCTTTTAAGGGAGGATGTTGTAAATGTTAAAAGAGCATTGGAGGTACGTGCAATTTCGAGAAATCCAGGGGTCTCAAGATAATTTACTCTTAACATAGTATTTTGTTTTAGGTACTGTGAATTAAGTGATAATTATTTGATGATAATTACTTTAGCATTTTGCTTTGATGATTTTTTCAAGAGTAGAGTCCTTCAATTGATACTCTATTTTTCTAATTTTTATAATTCCTTCCCTCTGTTTTCAAAACCTCAACTGATCTCCCTTGTAGAGTTTGTAAAAAAATGTGCGGAAAATCCAGGTAAGATAATGTGGGCAGTTTTTCAAGCTGGTATTTAAAAATCAAGGGGGACATTTGTATGGATTTTGAAATAGAATGGAGGTTAAAATATTTCATTGTTTCTGCAAACATTTTTCTAAACAGGTTCTAATATTTGGATAATTGCAAACCAAACCTGCTAAGCTTTGTTCCATTTTGATTTGGAGCCTGTTCAATTTGAGACTCATAAGAAGTTTTGGTGATAAAATTGATTGTTTATTCAATGCATTCAAAAATTGAATTTAATGAAGTGTTCAACATTCTGCAAGTGGTCATGACTGCATTCAGTTGCAATCCATTCCTGATTTAAATTATTAAATTTCAATACTTTTGTTTAGTCTCTCCTTTTACTAAGCACTGTACTGTAATTATTTGCAAACCTTGGCAGTTCATTGATAAGTTAAGTTCATCAGATCCACCATGTATGAGTTGGCTTGTAGAGTATATTCATGTCAATGTTTTTAAAATTGTATTGGAGATTGAACCAGTGAGGCCTAATGTTGAATGATAAGCCTAGAGTACCCCTGTGTAGTGTAGATAGATGAACCGGGATTTAGGTCCTTCAAAGTGAGGTGTGTAAAGCGAGAAAGTAAGCATGTATCCACTCTTGATCTTGATCTTGATTTGAAGTAAAATATCTTATAAATTGAATCCATTTCAAATCAAGGGTGGACATACATTTTCACTACACTTTTTCATGTTAAAGGAGTCATTCAATAAATTTGGAGTACTCCTCTAGACAGAGTAACCCTAACTAGAATTTCATAGGTTCTATGAGGAAAGGAAATCTCAATATTTCAAATTGTGCAAAAGGTCTGTGGTGTGAATAATGTCGTGATATTTAATAATTATGCATATTTTATTTAGGGAAACAAAATATTTCCTAATCATGTGTATTGAATGAATTGAGCATATATATAAACATATCCCGTGGTATAGTAAAGCACACGGTTTCAGCTCATCTTTTATGCCTCTTCTCTTTACTTTCAACAGTCTAAATAAGTCAGGCAACAAAAGGGCATTTATAACCCCAAGATAACAAAAATCTTAGTTTTATTATAATTTCTAAGAATAAAAACCCTAGATAAATTTTAATTGAATATAAAATCCTAGTAATATGCTTCTCCATTCTGAATCTGTAATCGATATTTCTAAGAAAATATAATTCCTAGATAAACTTTAATTAGATATAAAATTCTAATAATATGCTTCTCCATTCTGAATCTCCTTTTAGTTATGGTTCAATTAGTTAAATTGGTGGTTGAACCCTGATTGAACATGGTGGTGTATGAATCTATAAAGCATGGACTTTGACACGAACATTAGACACGATTGGTGTCTAAAATTTAGGAAAGTGGGACACACACATTCTGATGAAATAAAATGAGTAACATAACAAGATGTAAATTAATTGTATATTCACCTTTTTAAACCAACCTTCTATGTTTTTTCTATGATAACAAGCCTTAAAAAAGGTAAGAAACATTATTTTTAATAATTTATGTTATATTTTAAGCTGAGTTATCTAAAAGTTAAAAAATAAATATTTTTTTTTTGGTTTATATATGTTTTTAGTCCATGTAAAATGAGGTCCCTGTAATTTTTTTTTTCATCTTTTTAAAATTTGTGAAAATTATTTTTGGTCCTTATAATATATTTTTAGTCCTTGGAAAATGAACAAATTTTGATTCGTATAAAATATTATTTTTTGATTTTCATCCCTTTGAAATCATTATTTTTGTCCCTAATGATGATTTTAAAGTAGATAAATAATATTTATTTTTAAAGCCTTATAAGAAATTTAGAAGTGTCATACATTAGCATAATATCATTATCAGTTATGGATAATACCTAAGATGGTTATTGGACCTTTTAATAAACAAATAAGTAGTTAAAATGATTACATGATAATTAGGACTAAAAATAGTAGTTCTAAATTTCAAAGGGATGAAAAACACAGGAAATTTTTATGTGGACCAAAATCAAAATTTGTTCATTTTGAGGGAACTAAAAACATATGTAAGTCATATTTTTTAATATTAGTGTGTCCATTCATATGGAGGTGTTGGCTCAAGTATTTGAGTTGTGTAGATGTGTCGGCATGAGTGTCTAAGCCAACCAAAAATATTTTTTTAATTGGATATCTAGTTATAAGTGTCTGACAAGTGTTGGTGTTGGAAAATGTCTGACAGTGCTTGTAGGTTTGAATTAGAAACATAGCTGGCTCATGGTCAGACCGGTTCAAGTGATTGATCCAGTACTTCTTTTGAAACATTTCATTACACTACATTGTCATGGCTGTTCAAGAATGTAAATAGGGAGATTCAATTTGGGACAAGATGAAAACTAGTCTTACCTGTTTCGCTTAGGATGTTCCTCTACAAGGGGTATCCTAATGGAGAGCTAATTATAGTTATGTCTTTGGTCCCATTTGGTAGACTATTGTATTGACTATGGTGTATAGGATTGCTTCTTGTGACCTGGAAGATGAACAATCAGTGGCTTTGTTGTTTGTTCTATGCCTTAAAGTTTTTTTTGAGGAACTAAATGATCAAGGTTTGTCTATTTTGCATTCCTTTTGATTCAACTATTGGAAGACAGAAGGGTCTTTTCCATGGTAGCATTGAAGGTTGTTCATCTATGAGTTGTAGCTGGACATGTATATTTTATTTGCTGGAGTTTCATATTTGTAATCCTTAATAACACGTCAGTTGCATTTCTCTGATTGAAGATTACTTGTGAAAGATGACAATCGTGACATTTTTTATAATTGTTAAACATCTAAATGTCAATGACCATATCATGATATTTTTCTTTTTCTTTCAACATCAGGCATAGAATATGAAACGTCCTTTAAAAATGTCGTAGCACATCTTATTTTTAATATATGAAAAGCTGAAATGGATCAGAATGACCAGCATTACCATCTAATTTAGTTTAAAGAATCTAATCATTGGACTGCTGAATAATGCATCAAAGAGCTATACTTTTATTTTGACTTCTATGGAATTGTTTTCCCGCAGTTTGGTTATAGTTGGCTGAAATGTGGTTTCCTAAAATCTTGAATGCTTTGTGGGTGGACATTGTGTATCAAATGGACTTTGATCTGTTATTTTAGTTGGAGTTTCTTCGTTCTAGATATATGATTGTAGGATACGAGGACCATATTTTTTTGTTGCATGTTTAACTGTTGATATTATTCTCTTTTTATTTTTCTAAGGTTGTTCTTGGGTGATATTGTGAAGCAATTGTGGTTGTTCCCTTATTTGATTATTTTTCTTAATATCACTTGTCACCATATGCCTTGCAGGAAAAGCAGAAGGAGAAAAAACATAAGAAAGATAAGAGGGACAAAGAGAAGAGGGAAAGCAAGGAAAAGAGAGAGAAAGAAGGAAGGGATGGAAAGCATAAGGAAAAGAAGGACAAAAAGGAAAAGCACAAAGAGAAAAAGAAAGATAAGGACAAGGACAAGGATAAGAGAAAAGATAGAGATAAAAGTAAAATCAATACTGCTGATGACAAAGGGATTCCAAGACAAGCTGAAGGTCCCAATGCAAGTAAACTCCATCAAAAGGAAATTAAGCAAGATGAAAAGAAGGGTGTCTTGTTTGAGAACAGACTCACCAAACAGTATACTGGTAACAATGGGGAGAAGGCAAGAGAGAAAAATCATCTGGTTGAGGAGAACAAGGATTCAAAGTTCCTCTTGGAGTTTGACCGGAGGATTAGGGATGGTGATGGAGGAGCTAGCAATCAATTGGTTCATAAGTTTACAAATACAGACCATAGAAAAGATGAGGCGAGTGTTAGGTTGGTGGCTAGAGGTGGTGGCACCTGGCCCGATGGAAATGAAAAACTCAAGGATAGGGGTCCTGATGCTAAGAAGATTGATGGAAGAGGATTACAGGCTGAGGGCAGACCTATTGGAAATGCACCAGTTCAGAATCATACTGGAAATCTTCATCCTAGAGTTGATGGAATACCCAAACTTTTGGGTAAGTATTTTGAAAGGAATTTGGAAGCAACAATTGAAGGTAAAGAAAAGGTCAAGGAAAAGAAAGATGAACAAAAAGAAAAGACCAAGGAAAAGGCAGAAAGAAAGGTTAAGGAAAAGAAAGATGAAGGAAAGGAAAAAGTTAAGGAAAAAAAAGATGAGAAACGGAGAGATAAGAAGAAAGATAAAGAGAAGGAGAAGAAAGGGCATGGGAAGGACAAAGACAGGGATAAAGAGAAGAAAAAGGAGGAGAAAGCTAAGGAACATAGTGAACTTAAAACAACAGAGCTAAATAAATTAATGGAAAGCAACAAAATTGGACTTGTAGATTCAAATTCTTTGACACAGCTTTCCAAGAACAACCACGAGAATGCTGTTAGTGGGGAAAATCTCAAGAAACGAAAGGACTGTGAGTCAAATGGAGTTCCACATGGTGAGTGTTACTTATGATGAGTCTTGTTCTCATTTCTACCCAGTGGTCTTGTTAAGTTGTATTTAAATAAGAATAAGATGTTTCTCTTATTGGATTTGGAGTAGTATATTGCTGATCTAATAAGCTAATACCAGATACTACATCCTGTGAGATAATGGTGGGTTTTCCATGATGACGCATGATTATATTGATATTTCAATTAATTGGTGTTTTTCAGGCATATTGATCAGTTTTCTCAAGTTTTGTACACATTATTTTGTTGGTGATTGACATGTTATAGCTAATTTTTTAATTTTTTACAGCCAATGACAATAGGCCCAATAAGCTTCCAAAGTTGTCTTCCACTCATCCATTCACTGAAAATGGAAAGATATTAGAACCTTGCCAAATTTCCATTCCAAATGCTTCAGTTAGATCAGGAGTAGCCGCCGGTGTTAAGGTAGAAAAGAAAGAGTGCAAGATAAATGGTTTCATTGAAGCTCAGCCATTTGCAGCTTCTTCAAACAAGATTCACACTGCTACTGTGCCAGCTGATTTGGTAACTGAATCATCTGCAAAGCCACCCCATCCTGATACCAAGTACCTAAGCCAGGTCTATTCAGTACCTAAGGTGCAGCATTGGTCTGATTTTGATGATCAAGAGTGGCTATTTGGCAGCAATGTTTCACAAGAACAAAAATCTGTGTTGAAATCTTCAGAGGTTGGAGAGACACCGCAGGTATGGGCAGAAGCTCTGCACATAGAACCAGCAGATGTTTTTGCTCTTCCATATGTCATTCCATACTGATTGATTATTTAATCGTCACACGAAACTTCAATCAATTATATGTGCACAAGGAAACCTCCTTTGACACTCCGCGCTGGCAGAACTGCTGCACGGGGTAGGCGGAAAATGATTCCAAATTTCTTGATGCATTCTTTTGTTACTTGCACACTGACAGCAAGTGTGAGTGACTGGATTAGTGCGTTGATCGTAAACTGTTTGGATGGTGACTTGTGCATGACTGATTATTTACTGTTCAGAATTGGAGAACATCTGTCACAAGCTGTTGCATGCTAGGAGCATTGCATTGCAGAACATGCTGGAGGTGCAGTTCTCATCTTGTGCATCATAGTTATTCATTTATAACACTGATACTTTGTACAGGTTGTGGAGAAAGGAAGGGGAGAGGTACAAGCTTGTGCAACTTGTTTTTTCTATTTTTGCCTGAGAGCTGAGATGCTCTTTCTAATTGAGAATGAAAATATATCCAAGTGAAACTAGATGTGGTCTTGGCAACTCCACCACAATTTTGATTTGTAACATAGAACTCTTATTTACGAGAATATGTATGATAGAGAAGGGGGAAAGAGTAATC